AATTCTCGTCCCGAGAACTTAAATACTTATATTTATACAATTAATATTTGTTTTATTTATTCTATTTTAGCAACCTCAAGCAACTCTTAAATCTTGACTTGATTATAACTAAGTATACCCATACTTTTTTGTCTTCCGTTATTTGCTTTATATCTTCTCCTATATTTTCTTAATCTTTCAATCAACTGTAAATATAATCTGCTTTGTCTTTTTCCCTTGACCTTTCTAAACTCTTTTAATTAAGTCGATCCTCATTTAACGTATCTTTTTTTTTATTTTTCGCTTTTCTTCATAACGAGTGCTCCGCAAATACTGGCTCGTAAATTTTAATATATTAATAATCGCTTTTCTTTTTCATTAATATCATGCGTGACAATAATACCTTGCAGGAATACCATGTCACGCCCGACAGGAATACTCTATACGTCTTCGCTGAGCGGATGAGGACTGTTGCTTTATATTTGCGCGCATACGTGCCTAGCCTTGGGCAGAAGCGGGGGGAGGGGATGAATGATAATAAGGTCTGGAGAATCCAGAGAAAAAATGATCCTCAGGCAACATGAAGAGAACGAATAGCGGAGTGAGTAAATGCAGAAGTAGGTCTTCAATGTAGTGATTCGTATGAGTGGGAGAAAAAGTATATATGAGCTAGAAGATAGAAACACGCAAGGAGACCATGATATAAGATTATGTAATAATCAAGAGCAAGAGCAGTTGCCCCGTATGCGATCTGCAAGTCCGTTCGGGTGTGAAGAGATAGAAAATATATGATATCGCCAAATTGAAAAGGGATGATTGAGTGAGTGGTCAAGAAATAAAGATAGAAGAGATGAAATATAGAAAGATTAGGGCTGCTGTCATTTTATCCCTTGCTGCCACTATGATTTAGTAGTTGTTATTATTGTATTTATTAATGTCGAGCGGGTAGCAAGCGAAGCCTGCCGCCCTGGGACCTCCTATGGGGTACGGCGACGTGCTAAGCTGAGGAGTTATTAAAGACGGCCCTAGAAAGTAATTCAATGTGCTGGAGCGAGAGCTACTATTGTCTGCGCCCTTCCCTTACGGATAGGATGGATCACAATGAAAGGAAGCCTTTCGCTAAGGGAAAACCATAAAAGAAAGTCAGGCAGGTACAGACTGCTGTAGCTACTATGATGTAGCATCAAGTAAATCGCGAATTGACAAAGGAGTGGCTTTCTAGCTTTGAGGCATCCACTGTCCATTGCAATATGACTAAGATGCCAGGTGATGATTCTCGAGCCAGAAATGTAATCTTCTCATTTTTTAAAGGCTTGACGTATCGCAGCATTATTGAAGTGGTCTGGGTAATTGGATTGGGGCGTCTGATTATATAATATGATCAAAGAAAGTAGGGTCACGTAAGAAAAAGTGAACAAAAAAAACATGCTAAATGTGGTTAAAACGATCGCCTCGCCCTTGGGCAAACAGAACGCATAGAATAGCAGCATAAGATAAATTCGGCAAAATTTAACTAAAATCTGCAGGTCAAGGTAAATTCTTCAAGAGCAGAATCCTCACATCTTACTCGGCATCCTCATCCCGCCATCCAGTCGCAGCACCACCCCGTTGAGCATGATATTCTCAATGCCCTGCGTAACAAGCTGTGCGAACTCATGGGGCTTCCCTGGTCTCACTGCATCCAGTTAGGATCACCTGTTAAACCATCCTCCTTCTCCTATCCATTTTCCAAAATTGACCTGGGAGAGGAAGTGGCTTACAAGGAAACTCCATGACCCTCTTCAAGCTCGCCCTGACCTTATCACTCATCATCGCCGTCATCCGACTATCAAACATACTGGGCGCCACAGTAACAACCCTAATGCCATGTCTCGCCAGATCCCTCGTCAGTGGGAGCGTCAGACTCACTAAAGCACCCTTCGAGGCCGCGTAAGCGACTTGGCCCGGCTGGCCGTCAAAGGCAGCAGATGATGAGACCATGATGATCACGCCGCGCTCGCCGTCTTCGCCGACGGGAGTGGCGCGTGCCATATGTGGGAGGACCTGCCGGATGAGATCAATGGTGCCGCGGACGTTAACGTTCATTACGAAGTCAAAGTCGGAAAGGGAAAAGGGTTCGAGGTTTCGGTCGAGGATCTGTGAGGTCGTTAGGCGGAACAATGAGTGAAGGGATGACTGTGGAAGAAGAGAGTAGAAATTGGAATGAACCAGTAGGAGGTGGAAGAGAAATAACGGAGAGAAGGAGTGGATATAAAAACCAAGAAAATGCATTCGCACGTGATTCATCTCGCCCCCTCGACCACAAGCACCAGACACCTGCCAAGAACTCACGAAGAAAGCAAGAAGACAACATAAGAACAAGCAATCCCAAAATAGAAATAATAGAGACTCTTCCACCTACTTTAGCAGGCGTGCCAACCCCCGCAGCAGCAATCACACCCCCGACCTCCTTCCCCGTCTCCTTAGCCCAGCTCAATGCACCCTTCACAGCTTGCGCGATACTTTCTGTCTCTAACACATCCGCCTGGAAGAATTTTGCTTTACCTCCTCCAACCACCTTGACGACTTCTGCAGCGGTCTCTTCGTTCATATCGAGAATAGCGGCGTAGCCTCCTTTAGAGCAGATGTCCTCGACGCAGGCGCGGCCGAGGCCAGATGCTCTGCTATCATCAGCTCTTTATACTCTTAGTGGTCATCGGGAATACGAGCCCTCCTGATATGACAAATGTTCGGCTTTCGATCTTCATTTTGACTTGGAAACGTGTGGTAAGGCCTGCTAGCAGTAATAATTTTGGACAGAGATAGAGAAGAATGGTTATGATTGAGTTCGTAAAGTTAGGAAAGTCAACAACCTCGGCTCCCTACGGAACTTCGCTATTCCGCATGCATCCTAGGCCCGGAGCTCCCGACCTCAAACGCCGATGTGGACAATGCAAAGGACCCCACATTCGGCAGGGATACGAAGCTTGAAATAACTACCACAGTAAACATTCGCATTCAGCTTTGGCTTTAACTTTGCCAACGACATACACGATCAACTTAAAAGAAGCGAGAGCCGAAGAGGAGAAAGAAAAGACAAGATGGTGCGGCCTCGGCAATCGTCTAATGCGAGCGACGAGTCAGCCGGGACGGCTAGGGACCAGGTATGTTGACTCCAGATGCGACGAGGTGGAATGGGATTCTGATAAAGCACTATGCTAATGGGTGATGGACAGGAGCTGGGCAGTATGTACGATTATTTGGCGAAGATTATCTTGCTGGGGCCAAGTGGGAGTGGGAAGTACGTCTGTCTCTACATCCCGATCTAAAGCAGTCATCCACTTTGCATCCAACAAACATGGAGTCTATGCAGACAATAGGGGTGATAATGGCTGATTGAAGCAGGTCCTGCCTACTCCACCGCTTCGTCAAAAACGAATGGCGCATCCTTTCTTCGCAGACAATCGGCGTCGAGTTCGCAAGCAAGATAATACGGGTCGGGACTGGCGCGAGGAGGAAACGAATAAAGCTTCAACTCTGGGATACAGCGGGCACAGAACGCTTCCGTTCCGTCTCACGCTCCTACTACCGCGGCGCTGCCGGTGCCCTCCTCGTCTACGACCTCACATCTCACAGCACATTCACCTCCCTGCCCTCTTTCATGAACGATGCGCGCGCTCTCGCTTCTCCGAACCTCACGCTCCTGCTCGCTGGAAACAAAGCCGATTTGGCGGATACAGGATCTCTGATAGATATAGACCCCGGTCTTTCGAGTCCGCCGACGAATACGCCTAGCAGTATCTCTTCAGCAGCAAGTAAGTTCCCGCCGGGGAATGGTAGTATAAGTGGAGGAAAGGGGCTGGGGTTAGGGTCGCAATTGAGAGCCTCTACGGCTCCTGATGGGAGAGAGGTATCAGCAGAAGAAGCTTCTAAATGGGCATCCGCGAACAACATCCCGGTCTCCGTGGAAGTGTCAGCGCTGAGTGGAGATAACGTGGACGAGGTGTTCAACCGGCTAGCACGCATGATATTGACGAAGATTGAGCTGGGGGAGATTGACCCGGATGATCCGATGAGTGGTATTCAGTACGGGGATGGCGGGTGGCAGGGAGAGGGGGATGGCGCGAGTGTGAAGAGTGGAATGACTGTGGATGAGGGGGCTAGGAGGAGGGGAACTCGGAGAGGGGGAAGGAAGAACGGGTGGGGGTTAGGAGGAGGCACACTGGGAGGCATGCGGGAATGGGAAGAAGTGTTTACACTCAGTGGGAGCCGCAGGAGGAATCGTGGGTGCTGTTGATATCGAAGGGAGGGGCACTGGACGGGCCTATTCTCCTTGCATTCGCGGTCTCTGGAGCACCTGAGATTTTTGGTTTCCTGCAAGCGCTTCTCATTTCAGATACACTGCTCCCAACAGCAGTTTTCATCTGTTCGTGTTCATAGCTAGGCGTGGCGTTTGGAGCCTTTTACTTGGAGGGCATGCGCCACATATCCTGTCTTTCTGCTTTTTCAATTGTCTATACCTAGAGCGAGGCATTTCGTTGTTTACACCCCGATCACCTAATAATGAAACCTTATAATGTCAGGAGAGAGGAAAGTGGCTGAGACAGATAAATACAATAATATTCTATACACCATGACAATGGGCAATCACTCATTCGCAACTCATCTCTGAGTAGCGGCCGAATGGGAGTTACTTGAGGCATGGCGCCTGTTCGACACGAGTCTTTTCTTCTGGTTTAGGAGCAGTATCTAACATGATCATCTTTTCTTTTCATCTTCGACAGCCGAGATATTTGCTTGCTTGCTTGCTTGCTAGCTTCTATTCACTCTCTCCAGCGTAACCTAGGCATCCGAATTAATCCTACCGCCAAACTCCCAAACTAGGTAATACCAAAGCCCCCCGCCTCCCCCCAGTCGTTCGCCTCAGCTCAGCCCAATATCGATACTCGGTGCTCTGGATCATTGGGAACAAGCTGCTCGCTCTCGCGTTTTCGCTACTTCTGGCTTCTTTTGAGAGATTCTTTACATCTTTTTTTTTTTCTTTTTTTGGGAGATGTCATAGATGTCTGAATGGGGCTGGGATTAGGTCCAGAGGCGGAGGCGAAGATTTTAATCTGTCGAAGGAGATGGATAGTATAGATTGATTATAATTATAATGTAGAGAGGTGGTCCTGGATTCTCCTATGGCAAGGGACTACTTGGCCCAGACTAGCTGATGCCGCTGCTATAAGAAGCCACCTCTCCAGTAGGTAGAAACAACAACGATCTCTTCCACTACTTTTCTGTGCCTTCTTGTGAGGAACCTCATGGTTCTGCCTTCTTTTGAGGCCCTTTTACGTTTCTTCTTTTGGGTGCTTTGATAACAAATGATAGCAGTTGAGAAAGTTGACGACGGCTCTTTCTTTTTGGCTTTGTATATATATCTATATATATATTTATTTATTAGCGCTATAGTAAATAGTTGCATGAGCGGAGGGCCGGACTGCTATAAAAACAGCAATAGCTTTTAACTTTTCAGCTGCAAAAAAAAAAAAAAGAAGCTTCCAAGTCGAATCGATTCCAGACCGCCGCAGTTCTCGCTGTTTTGTTGGGTCATGAGATTTCTCCAAGTTAAGAAATGCTACTCTTCGGGTTTACGAAATTGGGAATAGGAATATTTAAGTAACCATGATCAGTGCCAGCCTCTAGATAGTGCTTAGCTCGCTAGGCTGCTAGGGTGATAGATAAGGAGGACAAGGTGAAGGTAGCAAAGGTGGATTGATTGTTTTCGAAGAAGCTCAGAGCAACGTGAGGTTACCTACCTATATCCTCCTCTTCTGGTGGTGGTGGTCTGTGCACCTTCATGGCCTGGTAGCCTGGGGCCACGACAGTGATCGATGCATGCCTTCCTATAACGGATACCGATGTCTCGGGGTGTGGATTTTGAAAAGGTATTTTTCACTGCAGCTCGAGATGACAGTTTTCAATTTGGGAACCGCGCTGCGTATCTAGCTATTGTATCGGTACGGACATCCACCTTTTCTTATTGCCAGCTCTTTAAATCAGTGCTGCCTTAACTTATCTTACTTATCCCATTCATATATAGCCCTCCGCATCTGAAATTTTTTTTTCTATTCTTTTTATTTTTTTTGGTTTTCTAATGTAAGTCAGCGTCCGCTGAATGGATCGACTAAATGATCATGAAAGAAAGAAGCCGGACTATGCATGGGTCGCTGTCTAGTCTCCTGTTCTCCGGGAATGGAAATGACATGATGCATATACATAATTCTTGCTCTGGCAAGACGTGGATTCAGGAAGAGAATACGTGGTTTCAACTTTGTACTTGCGAAAATAAGCCATCGGCAGGGTGTGATCGACAGTAGTGGGGATAATGATAGTGAGAGTATTATAGCAGCAGGTGATTTAATTTCAAAGAGAGTCAGCCAGAAGAGATGCTTATATCTTTCACACAAAAGAAGATTGGAAGATCCTATTTTAGCTGATGATAGTTAAAGAGAAAACCACCGTTTGGATGTTGTGAAACTAGGAACATCTATGGACCATTGAATGTAGTCTACTCTCCTGGGGGGTTCTCTATTCGACTAGGAGATCCTTATATATATAAAATGTTGAACGGTAACACGGGGAAGAAGATAAGTAAAAAGATTCTTCATTATTATCAGATGAACTTAAAGAATAGCCCTTTACTTATATATCTAAAGGAATCTTGATACGTGATAGGTCTATCACTTAATTACATCCGACACTTTTACTTAAGACTTATTCAAATAAAAAAGACTCTTATTAAAGTTTATAAATAAAGCTCTTATTAAAAGTAAATCCGAAAAGAAAAACAAAAAAGGATATAAGAGTATTTTATAAGGAAAAAATAGCAAAGGCCGAAAAACCTAATTATAAAGAAAAAAATAAGAGATTAATTTAATTGCTTGCTTATTTTTAAAAAAGAAAAATCATTTTAATCTTTAGTTTTCGTCTTTTCACTTAATTATACTTAAAAAAGCTTTCTTTCTTTAAGTGAGCTATTCTCTTCCTTTGCTAACTGATCCGAAAAGTGATTAATAATATTATTAGCTAATAAAAAAGGATGCTGCGTAATGCTTATCGAATTTTCGGCGTTGTTTTTTATTCGAAAAATAAAAGATTTGCGCAATAAAACTTAAAAGGATCGAGTCTTAACTTTTGATAAAGATTCTTAACGTAAGATTAAAGCAGCTTTTGTTTATATTTTCCGTCTTAAGTTAAATTAATTAATTTTCTTTGACTTTTTTTATTTAAATTCGTTTTCCGATAATAGCTAATTTTTTTAATTCTTATTGCTTAAAGTATTACGTAATTAAATAGCGGTGTAAATCACGCATTAGTTATTTAGATTGCCGTTAATTAAGCCGAAAATCTAAAAATCTTTTTTATTAAAGCCTTTTTATTAATTAAGATATATTTTAATAAATTCTTTTTGTAAAAAAAAAAGCGCGGACTTATAAACTTCGTTAAAATCGGTATTAAAATAATTGCAATTATAAATCGCGAGATTAAACTTCTTATCGTTTTTCTATTGTTAAGCTGCTTAAGCGTAATCGTTCGGCTATAAGCTTTTCTTTTTCGGCTAATTATCAACTTATTCTTCCGTTTTTATAATAAACTAGCCGAAACGAAAAGTAGCCGATTTATTATTACGTTTTATAAGCAGTTTAGCGAATTAAGAAAAGGTGTAATTATCTTTAATCTTAATATAATTATTAGCTTGCTTTTTGCAATCGATATAAAAGAATAATCGAAAAAAAAAATTTAATATAAAATGCTAGTTTTGTTTATTAAATAATACGGTTAATAATACTTAAAATTTATAATTAGCAAAGTCAAGTAACCCGCTATCTTATCGATAATAGCATTTAATTATAATTCTTTTAAGTTCGAAATCATTTGCTAATTTAATTTAATAGCGTTGCCGACTTCGTCGATATTAATAAAAAGGCTTTATAAAAAGAGATCGTAAAGCAAAAACTAAAGTCTTCGTTTTTTTTATTATAAATCATATTTCCGAGAGCAAGCGTTTTTTCGAGCTTCTTTAACGAATATTAAGCTATTAGCTTTAATGATTCTCGTACGAGCTTTAATATAAGTGCGAAGCTTTTTATCGATTTTAATTTCGAAAAAAAAGAAATTATCGCGATCAGATCTAAAAGAATTTAAGTCGCTAAAACGTACAGTTCGCTTAACGATCTTTTTTAATCGAAGCATAATTTAAAAAGAGTAAAATAATAAAGTATATAATTAAAAAAAAAGTAAATTATAATTAGTCTTTTATATCTTATCGGTCGCAAAGATTTTAAAAGAAAAAGGATTTTATAAATCTATAAAAATATTAGTTTAAGTTTGCGCCGCTACGGTCAAATCCTTTAAAACTTTAATAATTAAATAAAGTGATTAAAAGAAATCGATCTTTATCGTTTAAAATTACTTTTAATTAAAAAAGGCCAAGTTAAATAGATCGATAATAAAAGTGCTTTAATTACGTAATATTAAACTTTTAGCACTTTAATCGCTTTTTTAAACTTTTTAAATTATCGCTTAGCTAATAGCTTGATTAAATCGTCGGCGACTTAATTTGCAATAGCGACTTATTTTAAATCTATTAAGCTATCTTATACGGCTTTTTAAATAAATATATAACGAAAGTGAATATGCTTAGTTTGATAATAAAATTAAGTGTTCTTAATTAATGCGATCGCTTTTTAATTATCGTAATAAATTAAGATTAAAACCGTTTTTTTTTGCGAAAATATTTCGATTAAAAAGCGTTAAAGCTAAATTGCTTTTTTAATAGCTTCCGTCTTAGCTATTAATTCGGATTCGCACGAAAATAAAGCAACGATAAGTTACCGTTTCGAAGATTAGCTGATTGCTTCGCTTTCGATATTAAAAACAAAGCCTTTTATAAATTTGCGTATTAATTAATAACTATTTTAATCCGCGTCGAAAAAGCCGGTCAAATCGCTTAAGTTTTTTTAGTAAACGAGTTCGTAGCGAATAGTTTCTTTTAAATAGCGAACGATGCGTTTCGCTATTTTTATATATTTTATAATTGAATTTAAAGCAAAACGATTAATTATAAAGATTAAGAAAGCAATATCGAGCTTAAAACTTAGCATAGCGTATATAAGCGAACCGATAAATCGCTAGTATTCGTAACGAAGCTCGAAAAGAGCTTAATATTTTAATAAAAATAAAATTAAAACTTTAAAAGAAACTTTTATCGATATATTATAAGTATTGCAATCTTTTATCTCGAAGTCTTAA